CCAGCCTGGAGGTTGGGGCTTCAACATGTGAATTGGGGGCACAATTCATCCACAGCAGGTTAATTCAGGTAAGACTGTGGTGGGGCAAGGCTGGGCCTCCACCCTCAGAGCACAGAGCACAGAGAGCGTTTTCCCCACAACTTAGTGCACCAGGAGCTCCCCCCAAGTGTCCCTGTTCATAGCAGAGACCCCAATCAAGCCTTAGGGAATCCCGTGTTGATATTGGGACAGCACCTCTCCAACATTTGCAGTATTTCGAGGATAGGGCTTTCTTTATTTCGAGGATAAAGGCTTTCTCTTTTGTTTATTGTGTGGTTTGGTTGCCATCTAATGGCATTTCTTTGACATAGCAATGTATAGATTTTTTATTTTGGTTCCCAGTGAGTCTTGATTCTGAATCTTTGATCTATACTCATGAAACCGATCCTATTACATCCATCATCAGGCCACATTCTATAGGAAAAACAAATGATTTCTCTCCTCGGTAAATTTTCTGCCTTGTTAAGGACAAAAATAACAGGTATCCAGAAATCCAAAAAAAGATATTGGTCTGAAGAGAGTTAAGGGCTGGGTTCTGTGTCTACATGAAATGCCGAAGATGTGGTTTTGGAAAAGAGAGTTTGGACCGTGAGTAAAATGTCAAGGCATAATGGAAGAAGATAGGGTGGGAAAGAGAGGGTACTTTGTCAAGATCTGTCATCCCAGCCACATTCCTTACATCCCAAATCCTTCCAGAGCATCTCTGAGAAGCAGAGGAACTGCACCAGCCAAAGCACCACCTGAGGCCACCCAGCCTTCTGGTCTACCACTGGTAAGGTTTCATCTCTTGACTATGAAACTATTAGTGACCAAGTATAACCTTGTAGAGTAGTGATGACCAAAATAATGTTCTAAGATGACAAAGATCCATATACTTGTCCTATTTAGTCACATATGTGTATTGAACATGTGAAATTTAGCTTGTATAAGTGAGAAATGGTTTGTGATTTCCAGTAATTTTAATTTTCATTCATTTTTAAAGTTCACGTAGTGTTTACCATGTGAGACTTCACAGTTTTAGACTGTTATTACTTCTATGCTCTGTTGTAAGATGCATAGACATGAACGATTTATTCTTCTTGGAGTTTTGAAATCTTTGTCATTATGTGATGTCCCTATCTACCACCAATAATATTTCATGTCTGATTTCTTCTTTGTCTGAAATCACCATAGTTACTCCAGCTTTGTCTTCATTACGTTAGCATGGTTTATATTTCTTTTTCCATTTACTTCTAACATATCCAGATTTTTATATTCAAAGTGGGTTTTATGTAGACAATATTAGAGTTGGGTCTTGTTTATTTTTAATTCACTCTTTTTGATGTTATGGCATAAAATGAATTATTTAAACTGAATATTTATATATTTGGATTAATTTTGACCATATTTATAAGTATTTTATATCTGTTGATTTTTTTTATTGTCTGGCTTTGATTGGACATATTATATGATTTCCTTTTCTCTCTTAACTTATTGATTTATAAAATATTTTTGGTTTATTTTTAAGTGGTTGTCCTAGAGTTTGCAATATA